TGTTAGATGATTACATCATAGGACAGCAGGAAAACCGAGTGTTGTGCTGGACTCTGCTTGTTGTCTGCCCTGCAGCTGGAGGTCAGGACCCGAGAGACAGCAAGAAAGGTAGCCAGCTCATTTGATGGAATAGTTAGGGGTTAGCTAGCTTCACCATGAAATTATAACAACCTATATTTTGGATTGTGTTCAGTCTCCTAAACTGGATGCATAGCCTCAATACATACTGAGAGCCTCTTCTTATGTCTACTCTTAAAAAAGTATACCTTCTCTCAAGGTAGCTCTTTCTTTGCTCTCCCTCTCTGTCCTTTACCCAACTTGACCTTCTGATCCCTCATGTTCTCCTCTGCTCCCCTTCCCCCCTCCTAAATCCCCTACAGCCCTCCCTCCTCCCCTCACACTTTTTCCCCAGTTTACTAAGGAGATCTTGTCTACTTCCCCTTCCTGGCGGGGGTGGGGATGATCCATGTATGTGTCTCTTATGGTCCTCCTTGTTTGCTGGCTTCTCTGGAGTTGTAGACTGTAGGCTGGTCATTTTTTTGTTTTATGTCTGATACCCAGTTATGAGTGAGTATATACCATGTTTGTCTTTGTGGGTCTGGGTTACCTCACTCAGGATAGTTTTTTCTAGATACATCCATTTGCCTGCAAATTTCAAGATGTCATTGTTTTCTACCACTGAGTAGCACTCCATTGTGTATTTGTACCACATTTTCTTTGTCTTTGGTTTAGGGACATCTAAGTTGTTTCTAGGTTCTGGCTATTATACATAACGCTGCTATGAACATAGTTGAGCACATGTCCTTCTAGTATGAGTGTGCATATTTTGGGTATATGCCCAAGAGTGGCATCATGGGATTAGCAAGAAACCAGGCACTAGGGAAATTCCCAGGAATGAAATCCACAAGGATGACCCCAACTAAGAATCTAAGCAGTAGTGGAGAGGATACCTTAACATCCTCCCCTGCAATTAAATTGATGATTACCTTAATTGTCATCATAGAACCTTCATCCAGCAACCGATACGATGGAAGCAGATGCAGAGATCCACAGCTAAGCAGTTGGGCCGACCTCCTGGAGTCCAGTTATAGAGAGGAAGGAGTGATATTAAAAGCAAAGGGGCCAAGACCATGATGGGGAAACTCACAGAAACAGCTGCCCCAAGCAAGTGGGAACTCACTGACTCCAGACTGACAGCTGGGGAGCCTTCATAAGACTAAATGTTGACTTATGTTGGCAGTTGTGTGGCTCGGGCAGTTTTAGGGACAACCAGCAGTGGAACTAGCATTTATCCCTAGAGCATGAACTGGCTCATTTCCTATGGAGGGATACCTTGCTCAGTATAGATACAGGAGGATGACCTGGGGCCTGCCTCAAGTGATCTGACAGACTTTGTTGATGTCCCCTGGGAGGCTTCACTCTTTCTGAGGAGTAGATGGGGGTGTGAGATGGGGAGAAGATAGGGGGAATAGGAGAACTGGAGAAAGAGGGAACTGGGATTGGTATGTAAAATAAGATTGTTTTAAAAATATAAATATTTTTTTAAAAAAGTATACCTTCATGAGTTTGTTCACAATGTGTGTGCAGGCACCCTACAGAGCCCTGCAGGTGATTGTGAGCTTCCATGTGGGTGCTGGGAACCAAATCAATCTCCTGCCAGAGCAGTAAGCACACTCTGAACTGCTGACCCAGCTCCCTTATCCTCACTCTTTTGAGTGGATGTTTGCTCGGGTCCCACGGTACAAGTCTGTGATACTGAGTGGTGGTTTCCCTCCGAAGGTCGTCTGAGAATTATCATTTATTTGCTCATGGTCAGTACAATGTGCTCACATTCTTCCTACGAAAATACAGTCATGAAGTCATTGAAATGGTATTTTTTCAGCTTACTGAGTATTTTAGAACATCATAAATGTTGACTAATGTAAGAAATTTTACAGTGGGAGTTATTTCCCAGTGTTTATGATCAAATGCTCAGGCCTGTTGTGCTGTTTGATTTTGTAAGTCTGGAAGATGTGGGCAGTCTGGTGACATTCTTCGTTGATTTATACAGATAAATTATGGATCGTTAGTGTTCAGCCAAATGCCAGAGACCTTGCTTTACTTTATTTGTGTTCTGTATGAACATAAATAAAAAACACTATGTGGAAATGTCTGGGTTTTTTTTTTTTTTTTTTTTCCCACCAAATGACTACTATTTGATCTGGAGTAATTTTAGAGAAATCCATAGACAAAAAGACTTCATGAGGATTATGTTCTAGAATTTCCAGAATTAATATTCACAACTGTTGGCTGAAAATGTATTTTCTATCCATTACGATTAATGCAGCTATTAACTTGTAGTGTAATATTTACTGAACAGTTAGAGCAGCTTCATGTTATAGTGAAGGGCAGTACTTTCCTAAATGTCGTCTTTGAAGTTGTCCAACTATGGCAGTGGTTCTCAGCTTCCTCAAGCTGCAACTGTTTAATACAGCTCTTCAGAACATTATCTTCATTGCTACTTCATAATTGTAGTTTTGACAGCGTTATGAGTTGTAACTATCTGATAAACCAGATACCTGATGTGCAACCCCAGGGTTGCGACCCACCGGCTGAGAACCACCAATCTATAAGCTGCTGATGGCGAGCCGTGGCACCTGGGAGGGAGGAGCCTATTGATTATCTCTGAGGGGATTATGATCCTCTACTTTCTGTGTTAACACACCTAAAGTTTGAAGGTAGTGTCTCCTTGAACCTGGATGAGCAGCTTCTACAGAGCACCTGGTTTGATAGCCCACAATATCTAAGTACATGCATAAATATCCATACAGAGGCTGGAGAGATGGCTTAGCAGGCAGAGCATTTGCTGCTCTTGGAGAGGACATGAGTTCAGTTCCTAGCACCTATGAGCCGGCTCACAGCCATCTGTAATTCCTGTTTTAGGGAATCCGAGCCCTCTACCTCCAAAGGCACTAAATATACACATCATAGGCACGTACATGCAGGCAAAATATTTATACATGAACTAAAAATAATACTTTGTTGTATGCATTGTCACACAACTGTTTAAATTCATTCCACTTTAAAAAAATTTCCTATACTTATTTAAGGCAATCGGCAATGGCGTCATTAAGCTCAACTTTACCTATCTTACCTATCTTCTTCTGCGTCCCTAGTATGGATCCGAGGGAACTTAGGTAAAGTTGGCGTATATTAATATTCTGAAGAACAAGGTATTATATAATGAAAAGCAGCTTGGGTGGTTAGATGCTATTCATGAATTATGTCGTACAAGTCTTGGAAACGGTTTCAGTGTGATTGAACAATGTTGCCTAGTGCCAGAGCTGTTAGGCAATTTCAAGACAACGGTTTGGGGAGCAGGTGACCTTTTGGCTCAACTGTGTTATGTCCCCGTCACGTATTTTTCTTCTTCTGAAAAATAATAGCAGACACACTCGGGGTGGGGGTTCTTAAACTGGAGCTGCTCACTAACTCCAGCACACTTTTTATTAAGGAATGTCTTAGTGCTAATGGGTGTCATATCTAGAGTGAGGCTTGAGAAACCTGGCTGTAATGGCCTGGCTACAGTGTGTGTGTTTGATTTCATTACATCCCACTTTGGGTTTGTTGTAGTTTTGTTGCAAAGATAGAAGCATCAGGTACAGAGAAGCTTGCTGATTTTGCAACTCTTTTCTTTCCTTTGAGAAGAAGTAGTTGAGAGAGGTGGTTAATAGCTGCTTACATCCAAACGGTCAGTCAGGTTCATAGAGCTGTTTTGATAGACTCCCAAGGCTTCCATAGCGTGGATTTTATAGTTTATTATAAATTGGGACTGATTACAGTGTTCTGTAGATGTTAAAATTTAAGATAGATCCAGGAAGACATACCAAATTTGAAGCCCATGTACCCCAAAAATACAGTAGTGTGACCCAATAAACCAATTAGGCCTTGTAAATTTAATAGAAGTGACATTCAGATTGAACCAAGGCAATGTACCCAGTGAACAATTTCTAGAACAGGTTTTTCAGTTTGTAAAAGAAAACATAATATGAAAGAAGTTCCCATACATCTTAGTTAGTGCTGGCTTGTGTAACTCTTCAGACAGCTTGGCGGGACTGTAGTGCATGAGACAGGACTCAACTTTCTGCCCTTGGCCCTGGCGGTGCTCGGGATCAAGGAAGGCTCTTTCTGTGCTGTTTGTTTATCTGAGTCTTTATTACTTTTCCAGTGTATCTCTTCTTTCAGTTTCGCAGTGTTGGCCTGATAATCAAGTTATTTAGCAGAACCATCTTATCGTATGCGTAGTCTGTTTTTTATGATTTGTATAAACATTTGGAATTCATACTTTGACCACTTTTGGAGTCTATATAGCATTTTATTTGTTATAGTTCCTATTCTGTACAACAGCTTTCTAGTGAATCAAAACACTGCATGCTATCCCGAGAATACGTTATTTTCTGTCAGCTGTTTAAAACAAATAATAAAAGCTTAGTTGTTTACATTGTGATTCTAGATGAGAGTTGGAATTAAAACTAATTGAGAGTTTATACTATTCCTAGGGCAATAGTTTGTCTCACCAGGATGAGAAGTCTGTCTTTGAAATGTTTCTCTGTAGTCCATCATAGTTGCTCTAACAGCCATGGTTGTTCTTGGAAGCTTTGCAGAGTCTACTATGTCCAGAGAACACTTTATTTCTCAGCTTGTGAGCTAAGCATTGTCAGAATTATTTTTGTCTGGTTGCAAGTTTTTCAAGCCATTTCCACCAACAAATTCTCTATAAACATTTAGTTAGTTAAGCTACTCTGGGCATTTGTGTTTAATCCGCAGTCATACTGCTCTATGACTCATACTTGGGCAATCTGGATTTCACTGTTCCTCTGCTGAGCTTTGAGGTGGTTATGAAACCAGCAGATCCCATTAAGCCCTCAACTATATGGTGGAATCAAGGGGTACACGGAAGGTGGATGGCTACTACTTGGCTCATTTACAATCTATTCATTCTTGTTGGTTCCCCCTTCTAGGTTGTTTGATGTGTGCACTGTGTCACGAACAGACAGAGAAACCAAACTTACACTAGTGTTTGAGCACGTTGATCAAGACTTGACCACCTACTTGGATAAAGTTCCAGAGCCTGGAGTGCCCACAGAAACCATAAAGGTACCAAGCATCATCCTTTTGTCTGAGTAGACTAGCCACCGTCACAGCTTACTCAACACCAGCATTCTTTCGTGTGAAAATTGCCAGAATTGGTGTTTTTGAAACTTAATATACAGTTCAGAATGTCAACTAAGTAAAATGGTCAAAAAATGGAAAATCATCTAGTCCATCTACTAAGTATCTTCAAAGAGTAGGATCGCAGTCCAGTTTAATTGTAGGGTGAATTAAAATAAAAACTTTAGTTTTAATGCACATTAAAATTCTTTAAAACTACTTATTTGTGTATTATCTCCCTAATCTTATAAAGTATGGTATAACAGATATCACTCAGTTTATCCTGGTGTTCTTGTTCTTTAAGAGATAAATTTTTAGATGTCAATCAAAGGTATATTATGCATTATAATTATGCTGATTATCAGACATATTGATTGGACCCTTTCTGTTTGCTTGTTTTTTCCAGTTCATCGGGGGGAGGGGTTGTTTTTTTTTTTAGTCTAAATGGCAAGTAGTAATCTTGGTATTCAAAGATAATTAAAGATGCTTTCTGCCCTTCACGGTCAACAAGCTGGGAAGTATGTTGACTACAAACAAATTCTTCCTTTAGGACTAATGGAAAAGGTACTCAAAATGTTCTGATGGTCTAGCCTGTTATTCTGCTTAACTTCATTTTCTGGTCCATCTGTGAAATCTGGCTGTCCCCACAGAGTCAGAAATGTCCTTTGAGTGATGGCTAGTTGGTGTCCCCGGATACGGATGCATTCTGACTGCGACATAATCATGTCTGTTTGGGGTGAGGCTAGTAAGAGTGGTTTTCTCCCATCTAGCTTTCACTAAAGAGTGAGATAAATAGTGGTAGTCTCGTTTATTTGTGCAGTTTGAAGGCCAGGAAAGCCCTCAACATGTAGGATTTCTGATCACTTGTTCTCGTCACTCTGCACCCTCTTCCTCTGGCATTATATTCCACTCCTGTGATTTCACTTCTTTTCTTTGTGTTCTTGGTCCAGAGACTCCATATTGTGCCTACAGAGCAGGGTCTTAGTCCTTTCTGCTCACTGTCTCCTGACTGCATTGAACAGTTGGCAGTTTTTTATGTGGTCTGGCTTCTGACCTAAGCGGCCCTCATGGAGCTTCTCACAGTCCTCTCTAAGTCTGCCCAGATGTGTGTGATGTGCTCTCACAGTCAGGCCTCTCTAAGTCCGTCCAGATGTGTGTGATGTGCTCTCACAGTTCGATATCGGCTCCTCTACCTTTGAGTAGTTGTTGCACACTTCACTTCGTAGCATTTTCTGCCCTTGTGATTATTTATGTATGTATCTTACCTATTTGTAGTATAATCATATGTACTGGTTGGCATACTCGATTTGTATACATAGGAACACAGTAAATAAGACATGCTGCCAGACTCCTTTTACATATAATTATTTCAACCAATACATTAAATGCAAATGATCATTGCCTTTTCTGATGTAATTCTTCTATCAGTTATTCCATGATACTTTTTAAAATAAGAAAACAAAGTAACCATATATTTATAGTCCACATTTCCAGCTCCATAGAATTTTTTTTTTGAGTTTCAAATGTTCTCCTAAGATGTCAGAGGATGATGAATGAAATTGTTTGCAGAAGAATTTGTATGTTTAAAAGGTTTAATAACCCAGAGTGGTACACTAGAGGCAAAACTTGATCAGACAGGAGTAGCAATGAAGTGGGCCCGGGAGATTCTTGTGTGTGTGTGTGTAATCAAACACAATAGGAAAAGAAGCAGGCATGATTGTGGGTCACCAGAGTTGGGAAGTGCCAGGATTAGTGCGAGCATGCCTGTGTGTGTGCCATCTGTGTGCGTGCATGCCTGTGTGCAGGCATGCATCTGTGCGGGCATGCATCTGTGTGCGTGCATGCATCTGTGCGGGCATGCATCTGTGTGCGCATGGGTGCTGGAGGCTGGTTACCAGAAGACTGAGATTCTCCTGGAAGCTGAAGAGTCTCTACAGCCATCAGAATTAGTACCTCTCTAGATTAGCTGCTAGAAGTGAGGTTGGGAGCCAGGCCATTAATTAGAATTAATGGCATATGGTTAAGAATATGATGAGTGTTTTCAAAGTGGCATATAACCATGATCAAATAAAAGTAATGTGTATGTAAGCACAAAGGTCTCTGGTAGAGGTAGGCGGATCTCTGTGAGTTCGAGACCAGCCTGGTCTACAAGAGCTAGTTCCAGGACAGGCTCCAAAACCATAGAGAAACCCTGTCTCAAAAAACAAACAAACAAACAAACAAACAAACAAAAAGTTTCTGGTTAACCCTAAAGAGTAACTAAAACTTTCTTGTTTTTATCCTTAATTTTTAAAAATAGCTCTGAATTGTTCGATTTTTTTTTTTTCATTTTTACTGATGAGTATGTTTCTAACCTGAATGGTGTTATGACATGAGTATAAATCTACCTTACAGGCTCCTCTCATTGAGCCCTCCTTCCCAGCTGGTTGGAACACTGAGGAGGAGGACCGGCTGGAGGAAGTGGGTCTTGGGACTGCAGGACTCTTCCTGCCCAGACTCCGTACTTCTGGTCAGGAAGATGTGAGCAAGCCACTGACACACTCCCCATCAACTGCTTGTCTCCGTGACACTCTTGTCACAGTGACTTCCCCATCACACTGGAGTGGACCCCCTCAGACCATGAGACCAAACAGATTCTCTAATTTGTCCTGTAAGGTGTTTATTTAGGAGCTTATACAACCATTAAATCGTTAGGTTAAAGGTGTAACTGACATCCATCAAATGGAGAGTTAAGTTAAAAGTATAATTGATAAAAATTTTTTTACTAGGCACTTGCATCTTTTGTTTTGGTGATTGGTTGATTTTTTGAGGAGTTGGTGTACAGGTTAAGTGCATTGTTGGTTGATGTTTTCAAGCATGGCTGTGGAGAACAGAAATATTTGTTGTACAGAAGGTCTATTTATACCAAGTCTCTTTGAGCCAGTGAATGTTATTATGTTGAATGGTTTACTAAGAACACAAAAATGGATTCTTTCTATAGAATGTTCTGTGGAATAAGGCTCTTTTTAGAAAATACTGAGCGATTATTTGTTCGGTGTTTAGGGGTGAAATTATTTGTTTGGTGATCAGGGGCTGAAATGCACATTTAAAGAGAGAGAGAGAGAGAGAGAGAGAGAGATGAGTCTTGCAAAAGCATATGGCAGACATTCTCAGTCTTTATTTGAGCATTTTCAGGTTCAAACACCTCACCTGTCTTCGGCTTTTTGCACGTGGTACCAAGGTGTTCTTTAGAGTCATCCCAGAAGCTAGGAGGTTAGTAATACTGTACTGACATAGCATGCTATGTTGTCAAGTCGTAAACTGGAAAATATTTTAACGTAAAGCAGATACATAAAAAGCATGGACGATGATTTAGGCCAGGGACTTTGTCCTTTACCGTCTGTTTTCCAAGGTGCTCTCTTGGCTCTGTTCACCTGTTAGTTTGCCACCTATAATCAAAATATTCCAGTGCTTATTGGGGGTACTAATTGTAATAAGATGGCAGGACTGGATAGAACTAGAATATTTAGTCATGTCTGGACAGGAATAAAATCTTTATCATTTAATCAACATCTTTGTTAGAAAACAAATACCTCTCAGAGAACAGTTTTTTCAGATATTCGAGTAACCTTTGTTTTGAAAAATCAAAAAATCATGAAGCTTTACGTAGTTGTTCAGGTTGATACTTGGGTCCGTTTGTAGGGGACATGCTTCCATTACTGCATGGTTTTCCCATCGGCCTTGAATAAAGGAAGTCACTGGCTATGCCTGGGCTGAAGCTCACCTCTGAGAAGCTGTAATAATAATGATAGTGATAATAATAATTGTAGGACCCGGTCAGGACAAGCTCAGTAGAGGCCTGAGTCTCAGTGGTTTACCCTGAGGCAACACCTGGTTCTGACAAAGAGCACAAACTGAGTCCACCTAGGTACCACTCAGGAGCAGACCATCCAAAGGAAATTGCTAATGTTCCCACCATCAGAGATAGGATCACCTGCCAGCACACCCACCGCGACACCCCTAGACAAATGTCAGCCAATCAGGGATCCCAGACCTTAGAAATCTCTCACCCCCACCTTTGCTACTGTAAAAACCCAACTCTGTTGAAATATGAAGCGGCGGGGCTGCGTCCCCAACACCCCGGCCGCTTGGCTAGCTTATGCCCGGAATAACAACACACAAACTGTATTCATTTAAAGAACTGCTTGGCCCATACTCTAGCCCTTATAGGCTAATTCTCGCACCTGG